TCTTCCAACACGGCAAGCAGACCTTAATCTCCCTAGTCAGTCCAAGGTGTAAATGCCTTAGTAAGACGTAGGACGGAGTGATGCGGACCGATAGGAAGCATCTATGCTACGAGCTAAGGAGCATAATGCTTTGCTGTGCAAGCATTTCCTATTGGGATGCTACCGCAGGGAGCACCCCAGTAGGCACCTAATAGACGCTGAACCTCCACCTAGGTACATCAGAAAGGGAGTACTAGATTTAAAGGACACAATCCAGCAACACACAAAACAACCGCTGGACAGGACGGCGTACCGACAAGCACTGAACGCCATTCACCAGGAGTCAGTTAACACCTGCATGGACTCCCTTCCAGTGAATGGCGTACTCGGAGAAATACCACCACCCATAGCAGACAACGAACTCGAGCTGCCTCGAGAGACCCGCGTGACCCTGACACAACTCAGGTCTGGATATTGTAGCAGGTTAAACTCCTACCTATCGAGACTAGACTCCAGCATACCTAACGTATGCCCTGCATGTGGAGAGTCCCCGCACGACACTAACCACCTCTTCACATGCCCCCTCAAACCCACTCATCAAACCCCCCTCTCCGTTTGGTCCAACCCCGTCGAAACAGCTCGTTTCCTGGACCTACCACTAGATGACCTCGGCGACTTAGACTGAACAAACTTGTGCCTAAGTGGGGTTAGCGAACCGCTACAACAACATGCGGACTAGCAAGATTTTTTGTAATATTTTTCATTTACTGATCGGAGAAAGCACAATTCGTTGAGATTCACAAAAGAAAGCATCAAAGTAGCAGCAAAAAAGTAATTCGTCTAGCGGAAATTAACCACACCTCAGGCGTAGCGAATGGGTATATCTACATAAATATATTTTTGTTTTTCTTAGAAATTAATAACATAAATTTCAGTTGGCGAAAAGTTTCGAAGGCTTGCTGAAAGCTTTTAATAATAAGAACTTTGGGACTAATAATTTAAGAATAAACAGAAACGCTTATAAATTTTATTAATTTTAAATTAACGAAACTCAGACTGAACTGAAAACATAATATTCATAAAAAAATATTTATTGTCTTTGAAATTCGAATTAAAAAATAAATAAATTAGAGCAAAAACAAACAAAATCACGACGAATTCCCTCAAATGGTTGGTCATCAAGATAAATTGGCACACATAGTAAATGTTGCTAAATGAACACGCATAATTAAATACATACATATATACATATATATGTACATTCAAAAATAAAGACTTTGCTGGCACACTCGTTGACTCACGAAAAAACGGAAAATTAAAAGAAAAACAAAAAAAAAACTCACAACACAACACAACAAATCAAGCCACACGACGACAACAAGGCAAGGAAGGCAGCTGCCAAAAAATTAAAAATTTTACAAGAATAGAATTGAGAATACAACAACAATCAGCAATCAAGAACAGCAACAGCGCCAGCGGCCGTTTTAAAGGAAATCAGGCAAAACGTGTAAATTCGCACAGCCGGCTAAAGGAAAGATGGCCGAAATGGTCCAAATAGTCCAATGTTGTTGCCGGTCGCTTTTGTTTTGTTTTGCTGATGATTCATCGCTAATAGAACACCATTAAGCTCAACGAGCGCAGGACAGTGACGTCACGACACGACGCATGAAAATGCAGCGTATTTTTGTAAAGGAAAAGAGTTGTAAAGAGATTTGTGTGTGACAAAAATACGAAAACAAGTAGTAAGAATACCCGACATACGTGTGGGACCGTAAATTAAGTACCTGCGTTGCATCTTAAAAATATATATGTTATATATCAGTGATTTATTTCGAATTTCTTCTTAAGATCTCGCACGGAAGTTCAGAAGAAAGCCTAGCTAATATTTAAGCTTGATTATGGCGAACAGTCGAATCTTGAGAAACAGAGAGTTGATCTACCAAGTCTGATATGGATAAAACGATTTTTACTGGAGTCATAAAGACTGCCAGAGGAAGCACATTTTGGTTATATTATATATACTACAGTTATATATGATATAAGCATATAAAAACACCGGTAATTGTTTTCTTCCAAAGTACCGTTATATAAGGAAAATGAAATTTCCTTTACAAGAAGAGAAATCAAACAAACAACCAAGATGTTCAAAAATCTCTCGCTCACTGGCTTTAAGTTTTATTTAAAGCAAATTTCGCATGCAAATTTACTTTATTTTATTGCTTCTTGTTTGCTGTCAGTTGTATATACATATGTATGTGTTGTGTTGTTTTTCACTATTTTGCAAGCTCGTTCATTTTTTATTGCCAATCCATTCGGCAAGCTGCTTTCTTTGTTGCAGCTGCAGAAAATACTAGTGGCGTGCAACACAAGTCAAAAGACAGGCGTGAAAAATGCGCGAGCGCACGACGCGCTGTCACTTAAGCCCCAAGTGTATTGGCTGTCTGTAGACTTATCCATCCAACTATCTGTAAGTGCTTTTGTGTGTGCAACTGCTGCAATGTCTACTTATTCGCCGCATACTGCCGCTTGTTGTCTGTTTTTCTTTCAGCGCGGCTAGATTTAGTATTTTTATTGGCCTGACGAAACTGGAAATGGGTTATCGGTGGCGTAGTTCCATTAAGTCTTTTCAATAAGCAAATGAAGTACTAATTTTGGTTATAATTATTTTAATGTATTATATTTCCGTGAAAAGAGGATTGACACACACCACCTCTTCGTCGATTTTAAAGCAGCCTTCGACAGCACGAGAAGGTGCTGCCTCTACGCCGCTATGTCTGAATTTGGCATCCACGCAAAACTTATGCGCCTAAGTAAACTGACCTTAAGCAACACTAAAACCTCCCTCAGAATCCGGAAGGATCTCTCCGAGCTGTTCGAAACCAAATTAGGTTTCAGACAGGGTGATTCCTTATCGTGCGGATGCTTTAATTTGATGCTGGAGAAAATAATAAGAACTGCAGAGCTGAATAGATAAGGGACAAACTTCTAACATATGATATTCACATTCTTAGCCTCAACAACTGCGCCGCTAGTTCTGATTTCTCCAGACTGGATAATGAAGCGAAGGATACGGGTAGTGAATGAAAGCGAGACGAAATATCGCCTGTTATCAAACAAACAGTCATCGCATTTGCGACTTAGCTCCCACGCCACTACACAGTCATAACTTTGAAGTCGTATATAATTTCGTCTATCTAGCAACCACCATTAACACCAACAACAATGTCAGCCTGGAAATCTAGCGCAGAATCACTCTTGCCAACAGGTGCTACTTTGGACTGAGTAGGCAATTGAAAAGTAAGGTTCTCTCTTGGCGAAAGAAAACCAAACTCTAAAAGTCACTCAATATACCCGTCCAAAAACAGCGATAAGAAGAGATGAGTGGAGCGCTAATATTGAATCGACTATAATCGCGGAAGAGGTGTCAACGCCAATAAAGAAGTATTTTATTTTATTTTTTATTTTATTTATTTAGTTTAGTTTAGTTTAACTTAATTTAATTTAAGTTTATTTAATTTTTTTTTTAATTTATTTTAATTTATCTCTTCAGATGATCTTTTGTGATCATTTTGCTGAAAATTCCACAAATATCGTTCTCCAACCACCGTATTCGACGGCGGTTTTCCCCCGAGCTCCTCCTCCAATCGGTCGATTTGCATCTTGATGTTTTTCCAACAAATGCAGTGACCTACAGTTTATACTAAGCCACCTCCGACCGGCTGCTGTTTTTTTATGAGAAATTTTATTTCATGTCCGAAATACACTCGGTGAGGTTGACGGTCCCTGCCGAGGGGCGACCGAAATTTGAAAATTTAGCTTAATTTTTTTTTAATTAATTTTCCATAACTTTTGGATGTTCGTGGCAACCACGTCGAGGACACCATTTTGAGTTGATTGAGGAGATTAAGCGTGATTCGGCGCGCTCTCTGAAGGTCATACTAGAATGTGACTATTTTACATGCTTCGATAATTGGGAAAAGCATTGGCATAAGTGCATTGCATCGGCAGGAGACATTTTGAAGGCGACGAAATCGATGTAAGAGAATAAATAAGGATTTTTAATTTTACAAAAATATTCATCTTACTCTTTGCTTACACCTCGGGTAGGAGCTTCGTCAATGTCAAAGAAAACTCGTATTGTATGCTCTTCGGGAATAAGCGCTGCTCAATCTATATCTATAAAATGTTGAAGAGCGAACGTGGCACTGAAGAAGGCGTGCTGGTTGCCCATTAGGTTTTTGGATTTATCTCTTATCGTACACGTATGTATGCGAGCGTCTTGTAGATTGTTTATTTATTTTTTAATAGAAAAGATGTAACGCTGAAAATTATTTAGATTCATTTGAGTTTTTCTGTCGTTTTTTGGTATGAAGATCACTTTTGGCTTACTTCATGCAAGAGGAATGTTCCTCAGGATGGGGTATGCTATGTAAATGCTGCGTATAAAGGCGGTAAAGGATTTCTGTGGCTTACTGTGGTTCGGCAGAAAGCATGTCATCTAGATTGGAATTTTTGAAGGATTGGAATGATTTTATTGCAACAGATGCAATATTTATAGTTAGGTATGTGTGTGAAACGTATGACACGCCTCAGAACACACTGGCATGAGGGTAGTAACATTTCTGTGCATACCCTTTGCTATTCGTTAATTTGGTTTCTGGATGTGATTCCGGATTCACTTTACTCAAACTGTTTTCTTCTTAATTCAAGCATAAAATCTACGATCACTCAGGACTCTCATCCTCATAATATTACTTCAGTACATAAAAATATGTAAGCAAAGTAATTAACGACAATTACCATTAATATTACTATCGTCGAACATTTCTCTTTCACTTCAAAAATTATATAGTTTTCTATCTTGAAATAAAAAAACTTTCAACAGTAAAATAATTAATATCCCTTGTGATACAATATAATAAAGATAAACTTGTGTAAATACTTAAGTGAGCAAATAAATATATACTTCAGTATATATGTACACATATACATATGTATATACATACACCTTGTATACGCACCTTTCATAGCGCTAACGCTGTGGCAAAGCAATTGCACCACAATCAACGTGCAACACACGAAAAACCCATGCAGCTGCAACATTTTCCACCGAAAATAGTAATTGGAGAGCGTACGAAGTTAAATTAAATGCTGAAGAGATAGCGCGTATTTACTGTTAGCTTGGAAAATACTATTTTACACCATACGCCCTTCACTCGAGTTGCGCAATTGAAGACAAAAAAATGTTAGATTTTATTTTAAAACATCAGCAATTTGTCCTTCCACAATGAAATTTAGATTATTTCGATTTTATTTTTCAATTTCCCCACGAAAGGGGGAGTGTACCGCCGCTCTTCAATTGCTTATCGATCATTATCGCTCCGTTTATTGTGCTGGCACTACACTCACTTCGTTTGCGTTAATTTTCAAATAATTTTCTATATTTTTTTTATATTTGGTATTTTTTCTTTTTAGTTTTTTTAGGTGCGGGTGCAGTTTGATGAGCTGGTCCCTTGGAGTTATTGCTAGTTGTTGGTATTGCTCATGCAATGCGCACTTATTGCTCACGTTTATTTGTCGTTGAAGTTGTTGTTGAAATGTTTGTTGCTAATATGATTGTTGTTGTTGGCAACTTGATTCTTGATATTCGAATTTTACTTTTGCTTTTGCGCCTGACGTTGATGGCACACATCTGTTGCATGTCAGTGGCATGTATGTATATGTTTGTGTGACATGTGGGTGCGCGTTTGCAGCGCGGGCAAAACTCCACTGGACATGTACTCGTAGTGTTCTTGCTGGCTGTTGTTATATTGTCATGCTTACATACTTACGAGTACACACATATATAGATTTCCGTATATTAAGTATGATCTATATCTTCGACAGTTCACGCACTCAACAAAGAGAAATCATTTTTTGGCAGCTTCTTTGTGTGTCTGTTTGTGATTTTTCACTTGAAAATACTTTTATTTTTTTACTTATTTTCACATTTTTTTCACTTTTTTTTTGTACTTTTATTCTTGGCTATATTGAAATACTGCATTATTTATACTTCAATTCCATTCACGTCTCTGTTGAAATTCTGCATATACAAAAATCAATCTCACTTTTTATTTCCGGTCTTCATATTCATTTTTCGTGTTATACTTTCTTTTGAAGTTTTTATAAAAAAAGAAATAAAAATTAAAATAAAAATTGTTCTTTAAATGTTTAGATTTTTTTCTAATTTTTAATATAAAAGAAAATTAAATTTTTATAGAACTCAAATTTTTTTATCATTACTTCGCCGGATGGAAATATAGCAACCGAATAGATCATGTTGTGATACGAATAGACGCAAGAAAAGTCGCTAGCGTTCTAGCTCGGTCTCAACATAGACTCGAACCATGCAGTAGCAGCAAAGATACGCACCCGAAAAGTTCAACAGCATGACTTGGATAATTTTCGTGAATTTTTTTCTGCGATGCGATCATTTACAGACGATTTCAAGCGATAGAACCCAAAGAGAAAATCTGACTGCTGATGGCCATAGCATACTGAGTTTACGGTGGCAGTGTTTTTCCAGCCAGCTAACTGATGGTGTATGTGAAATATTAAGAGGTTATGAACCTGTATCCCCAATCGATGGCAATGGAACACACTTTGCAATAACCGACTTTGGTGAAAATCGAACAGCATTTTTTGGGTTCGATCTACTATTGGCGAAATATTTACCATGCCCTAGTACTACAAACCCACTACATTGAAATTGTATTATAAATTACTTCGTCTATCCAGGGACCAGCATCAGCCCCAACAACAATGCTCGCCATTAAATCTAACGTAGAACAATTCTTTTTCATAGGTACAATTTGGATTTAATAGGAAATTGAGAAGTCCTCTCTTGTCATTCTACATATCGCTCGTAAGTCTTGCTATTCTCGTATATTGTAGACGTCTGAACGAAGGGAACAGCCGATGAGTAGGCCATAGCAGTTGCCGAGAAAAAGGTTATGCAGATTTATAGTACTCTACATACGGGCCACGGCCAATCTCATATACACGTGTACATATGATGAAACCCTTAGCGGTACTAGACCTACGATGATATTGCCATTTTTGCTGATTTACAAAGAACAGAAAAGACGATTGTTAATCCAGCTGGTCTCCAGTTATAAAGCAGAAGAATGGGAGAAGATACATGAAACATGCAAAGGGAACGCAAACTCACCCTTGGAAAGTGATGGTGATGAAACAATTACAACTCTTTAATAAATTGCTAAGTAGCTCTATATATCTCTCTCCCTCTCTCAAACTTCAAGCCTGTGTTCGTTGCTAGTAAATTAATACATTGTTGCTGTTATAATGTATGGATCAAAGTCAGAGTCTTCCTTGCGCTGAACCAAAAGTCGAAAAATTCTGTCCGAAGTATTGAGTTAGATCATAATCCGTAGCTGCCTTTTTGAAAGCTCGGAGATATGAATTGAGAGGCAGATTAACATAATGTTTTTTGAAGTAAGGAAACTAGGTAAAAAAAAAAATACACCTCATATATAATAGGGAGTCGCTAATTGACCGTGATCTACACCTGACGTGTTTTTTTTGACAAGTGCATAACTCCATATATTTAGTTTCGTGAGAGTGTAGAATAGAACAGAGACAACAAAAAAAAACATTAAAATTCTCTTGATTAACATTGCAAAATGAATGGAACAGGAGAAAATGAAAAAACCGAGCATACAAAAAATAAATGGCAAAGTGTTCCAATCAAAAGTGGAAAACGTGGAAATAATGAATCTCCTACACTCCATCAAAAGAAAAAACAAATTGTCATACATCCAAACCGGTTTGATATTCTAAGTGATGATGATGATGACTTACAGAAGACGTGTACAGATAACAACATAGCAGTGAATGAAGAAGAAGATCGGAATATTCCAAAGCCGCCGCCTCTAATCATACCTGGGGTTTACAATATAAGCGAAATGATAAATACTATTTCAAGTGTAAATGATAAAAAAGATTTTAGCTATAAGTCACTAAAAGATGGACAAATTAGACTTATGATAACTAATATAGACTCATACAGAAAAATTGTAAAACAATTAGACTCTAGTAATGTGAGTTTTCACACGTATCAACTTAAACAGGACCGACCGTATAGAGTAGTGTTAAAAGGAATTCACTTTTCCACCTCGTTGGAAGAAATTAATAAAAATATTTCTTCACTAGGTCATAAAGTAAGAAACGTATTCAATGTTAAAAGTAGAATAACCAAGCAACCGTTGTCAATGTTCTTTGTTGATTTGGAACCCAATGCCAACAACAAANAACACATATTTGTGAAATAAATACGTAAAAAAAAACTATTTTGTTGGCACGAAAGCGTGACGCGCGCGTAAAACGCTTTCAGTGTTTTGAACTCACAACAATAGAAAATAGAAAATATAAAGTGTAAGTAGTATAATAAAAAAAAAAAAAAAAAAAAAAAAAAAATATATAATAGGGAATTTATCGGTGTTAATGGCGGCCGCGGTAGCCGACTGGTTAGCATTGATACCACTCGGAAGGCTCGGTGCGATCAACATCAAAAAAGTTATTGAAAATTAATTTAAATAAAAACTAAGGTAAATTTTTTAATCGCTCCTCGGCAGGGAATGTGAACTCCTCATTTCGGACGTGAAATAAAGCATAAAAAACCATCAGCCGTTCGGAAGCGGCTTAGTATTAGGTCAAGAAAAAAACGTTCGTTCGGTTTTTATCTAAGAGATGACGTCATGTCATACTGTACGTGTTTATTCGCGCTGAAAATTTGTCTTTGACAGTTTTCCGATTGATTGGCTCAGTACGTTGTAAGCGCTCGTCAAAAATGGATACCAGTAAAGAGAAAATCCGCTATATTTTACAACGAATGAATGAATGATGAAAAAATAAATTTAGTTTATGGGCCCGATACTGTAAACGAACGTGTAGCACAAAAGTGGTAATTTGGAAGATGTACCACGCGTCGGGATGCCAGTCGTCGAAAATTGCAATAGAATCATTGAAATAGTTGAAACAGATCGTCACGTGAGCACTACTTTAATGGCTGAGGAACTAAAAACAAGTCAGGAACTCGTGTGGAACCATTTGCAAAATCTTGCATTAAAACAGAAGCTCGATGTTTGGCTGCCATACGAACCGGCGCAAAAAAATATGATGGACCGAATTTCCATCTGCGAATCGCTGCTGAATCGCAACAAAATCGACCCGTTTTTGAAGCGAATTATGACTGGTGATGGAAAATGGGTCACTTATGACAACATCGAGCGCAAACGGTCGTGGTAAAAGCTCGGAGAAGCGGCCTAGATGATGGCAAAGACCGGATTGTCGGCTAGGAAGGTTTTGATATGTGTTTGGTGGGATTGGCGAGGAATCGTCTACTACGAGCTGCTCTCCTATGACCAAACGCTTAATTCGGCCCTCTACTGCACAAATGGACCGCTTGAAGGCATCACTCATCCAGAAGAGGCCATCTTTGAACAACGGAGGCCGAATTGTGTTCCATCAGAACGTCTTTGGGGACGCGCCAGAAGCTCCAGGGGCTCAGAAGGTAGGCCCTAATGCACCCACCTTATAGTCCGAATCTTGCACCAAGTGATTACCACCACCGAACGGGCTTGATGGTGAGAAGTTGGCCTCAAGAGAGGCCTGTAGAAATTGGCTCTCCCAGTTATTTGCCAATGGGGACACAGCCTTCAACGAGAGGGCTATAATGAAGTTGGCATCTCGTTGGCCACAAGTTTACGAACAAATCGATCGGTTACATAGCACCAATTATAAAAAAAAATAATCGAAACTCATTACTACAGAGGCGAGGTTACTCCTTCTACAAGGTAATGATATTCTTAGAGGATGCCAATTTCAATATTAAATCTTAGTTTCTGTTAAATATTGTACTTTCTTGAGCATATTAATTCGTATTTAAAACATTAAGATTTATATTTTTTCCAAGTTAATTTTTCTCTTTTTTTAATTATTATAATTTTTTCTTATTTTGAACAATTCTTTTTATATAAATTTATTTTACATTCGTGTAAAAATTTATAAGGAATTATTTTTGGAGAATTTGATTTCTATATTTTTATTTATTTATTTCTTAACTATTTTTATTAATTGTTTTTAGATAATCTTTGAGTTTGGAAAATATTTTATAGTTTTATATATTTTTAAATTTCTTGTACTTCTTTATTTTACTTGCTATCTTAAGCCCTCATTTTTATTCCTTATTTTGTTATTTTTTGTTTGAGCCCTTTTTTACATTTTTATTTGTATATTTATTATTTAATAATTTGTTTTTTATGTTTATTTATATTTTTTCAAAATTTTTTTTTTCGAAAATTTTTTAATTTGTTAAGTTTTTTTTTTTTTTGAAATTATTCTTATTCTTTCCCGCTTATTTTTGTAATTTTTAATTATTTTTTCCTCAAGTCGCCCCGAGTAATAAGTCATTTTTAGTACTTACTAAAGAAAACTATAACTCCCTCTATGCACTCATTAAAAGAACACTTTCAAGTTGTTAAAATATACAATTGTCGCGCAAAACACATAAAGTGTGGCTATAAAAATTTGAAATAACTGCGTGCCACAACAACTGTGCAGCAGATGCATTTTTTCGACATTTGTCTATATGTATAAGCGCTTCTTTTTTAAAAAGGAGAGAAAAAAAAGCAAAAATATTAATAAATAACATATACGAGTACAATAACCACAACAACAACTAAGAAAGAGATAAGAGAGAGAAAATGTTACTTTTCAATATGCATATGAATGTATGTATTTTTAGTGTATGAATGTATGTATGTAAGCGATATCGGCATTAAAATTTCGATCACTGCTGCTGCTGTCATTTTAATATCGACTCTGTGTGTTCTAAGTTTTTATTGAACATAATTTTTATTGTTTTTCAAATAAGAAAAGAGCTTTAAGTTGACAGCAGCGCTTTGAATAAAAAGATTTACGTGCGTCTATGCAAGTGAGTGAGTCAGCTATGCATGCTGAATCAGTGGCAAAATGTATTTTATTTCTTATTACTTGCTTCCTCTTGGTAGACTATTTAAGGGATTCAAGTTTGAGAAGCGAAAGCTTGTTTCGATAGATATTAAAGAAGGTATTCTAGAAAAGGTCTTTGT